ATATATATATATATATACTACCATTTTCTCGATAGTGGGAGAAGCCTTCTTTAAGGGGCCTCGGGTTTGAAGACCCATCCTCTAAAATTTAGGCCAGTTTGGGGTTTTGATTAAAATTTAACTTCTATTACTACTACATCTACACCGCAAAAAATATGACCTTGGACTACCTCGATTCACAAAGTGCGAATGCAAAATTCAAGCTCAAAAACCGGTTTGAGAAGATCTAACTCCGGCCAAAATAAAATGTCACCAGAATAGTTGTAGCCGTTTTTCCCAACTTATACTGTTCTTGTGTTGAGAAATTTATGGAAATTTGGCAGTCTGGCTGAGCCTATTCGCATTTCTTATGAGTCCGACTACAGTGTTGGGTCGATTTCATCCCCTGAAAACATCCCAAACGAGAGGTTCAGCTGGGTTCCAGGTGAGTCTCTCAAAAAACCAAATTAGTTTGCAAATTATGTACATTCGCGAATTTCGCACAATTTGGTTTCAAGTAGAACATAAGGTTGACGGAACCAACCCCGGGGACTGCGCCTACTTGATGAGCCCCAAAAAGGGCGAAACCGGTCGTGGGCTGTCGACGGATTTTTAGCAACCTTATGAGTAGTACATCACAAATATTTACATGTATCGCGATATCTTGAATATCTCGAAAATCGTAGCGACTGAAACATGAGGCGGCCTGGTGCAGCACATTCAGTTACCGGAAAACACCACAAACGAGAGGTTCAGCTGAGTTCCAGGTGCGTCTCTCGAAAAACCAAATTAGTTTGCAAATGAGTGTATATTCACCAATTTCATCCCCGTTAAGATACATTTTTGTGTCTACATGTGTTCGTTAATTTTAATCACATGAAAAAAATCGTGCGCACATACTTTGGCGATCTGTCACAGGAGCCAATGGTAGCAAAGTAAGTGCTTTATCGGTGCCGTCCAATGGGTTTAATTTCTCATACCATTACCATGTTTCTTTTACACAGCCTTCTCGAAACACCGCAGTCATTCAAACCAAACGGAGGGAACATTTCCTAATTACAGTTCAAAAATTCGACGTTTTCATCTTTATACTTTCCGATCATTTACCCAGACGACTGTTGGTTTCAAAAAAGTCTGAAAACAGTCTATTGTTTTATTTACTCACTGAACTGGCAAACACTTCAGTTGTTTCTTACACATGATTCTTTTCATTAGACAGTAGTTTTATTCATGTAAACTGCAAATTCAGGTTTCAGAGTATTTAGTGTACAGGATTCCTTTGGTATATTCTGGAAGTTATTAGTTAGGTTGATGTTGGACGTATGAAGGTTGACATCGCCACAAGGTACATTATCGTTGCTCTTTTTGAGGGTAACCAACGCTCAAAGCTTCCAAGGCCTTGTGCAATTTCTTTCTGCACTTGTGAAATCAAAGGTCTAATGGCTTCGGAATTTCGATAACAGAGCTTCAAACCTACATCTAGGTGTAAAACGCCACCCTGTATCTCAAGCTTACATAATCGAGATAAGTATCAAAAAAACTGTTTCGAAACTTCGGTTATTCGGTTCAGTAACGTTGACTACTGGAAAGAACACCCTCTGCAGAGAGTTAAATCCTCGTTGGAATTAGATTAACACGAAACAAGTTATTTCCTTGCTGAATACACTCGAAAAAGGCATCATTGCAAGCAATGATAAACACAGCGTTCAAATTTAGCAGTGACAATCATATTTAATTTTTAAGACAGTTACATCAGTTACGACAGCTACATTGCCCCTCTCTGTGAATCTCACCAAGAAATGAAGGGGCTTCGATGAACTTGTGTCCTCAATGGCAACATAGATAATGAGATCATTGGTAACAAACCACATTCTAAGTCTGTTTTTCAAAAGAGGAGGCAAAATATCAGTCTTCCAAGATATCCTGGCAGCTAGGTGGACAAATCATAAATTTCATGGAATAATCATGAGGCGTGTGTGACAACATAATTGTAATTATCGACCAAGTCCACTACGTGTGAGGTTACTGAAAATTCGTCGACACCTCACAACCGGTATCGCCCTACTTGGAGCCCATCAGGTTGTCGTAAGCCTCGTGTTTCTTCCAACCGAACAGAATTCGAGACCTGTACTCATTTGTGAACTGGTTTGAATTTAACGAGAAAACCGGGTGAGTTACGTTTATGATATTTTTCAGTGAATGTGCCGTACAAAGACTGACTGGCGTTTCGGTTGGGATGATCTTCGAGATATCTCAGTACATGGTCTCGACAGAATACATTACTTTTTTTGAAACTTGGTCTATTGTTACTCGGCGCCCCAGAAAGTAGAATTTCAGCATAGCAACCTTTGGAATTCATGTGTACATTGCTAAAACAGATGTCAACTCAACTGAAATTCCTGACTTATGGGCACAAAAATTAACTGAAGCAACTGCTGTCAAGATAAAACTAACAAACAACTAACGGCTGAGTCTCTCGTTGAAACCAAACTGATTTGCAAATGAGTATATTTCCCGAAAACAGTTCAATTTGGGTTCAATTAGAACATAAGGTTGACGGAAACTCGGAGACTGCGCCCACCTGATGAGCCCCAGAAAGGGCAAAACCGGTCGTGGGCTGTCGAATAGTTTTCAGCAACCTTGTGGGTAATTTTCCTTATGAAAATAACAGAAGAATGGTTCACGAATGTGGATTGTTCAAATGGTTTTCAGTGATGTTCTTGATCCGCCCTATCCCCTATTTTAGCTGAGTCTACTATATCCTATCCTGAGTACTGGCATGTGCCAGACATAATACCCATCTCATTTTATTGGTTAGGTTTAATCACCACGTCGTCTCGATATTGGCAGCTCGCTATTCTCTTGAATCGGGATTCAGTCCATTATTTTCGTCCATCTTACTTCATCAGAATCCAGCTAAAGCTGGTTTGACTGCCAAGCAAGCCATATTCTTTTAGTGTCTGCAGATACCAGGAAATTTTTTTGCAAACGGAGAAAATATATTGGGATTTCCTAAGATCTGCTTCACCTTAAGCCATGCTGAAATCGGGAGATAATGCTACGTCTGTCCAAACAACTCAATGTACATAACCTTTACTTCTGACTGCCTTTTAGACACTTCAATGAAAGTGTCAGTCAACGTCAAATTGCGCGTAACTGCTACGTAATTTCATACACGGGAAAAAAACTGGATACACTTTTGGTGTTGGCGCAAAGAGTGGTATCCAGATTGATGATCTCGTAATTCGCAGTGGTCAGGTCAAACATTTCAAGGGATATATATTTATCTCCTTCAGCATTAAGGTAATCATTGGTTTGCCAGGCCATTTTGAACAGCCTTCTCTGGTTGTACATCTAATTTCGAAGTGAAAACTCTTAGGATGTACAAATGTCCAGAGTTTTTCAGTGATAGAGAGTGCACTTCATTCGAATCGGTTTTAGACAATGCATTTGATTCCACAAGATCACTTTTATGTCCCGTGGTTGGAGCTAAAAGCCCCATAATCTTTGTTTTGTGGAATAAACCGGGATTATTTTAGACCGCCGTTGACGGTAACTGATGCACACTGCTTCTAAATTGTCAGCATTTATTGCTTAATCTGTATGACTATACTGGATTGAAATATATTCGCCTGCCCTTGTCTTTATTCCGAAACTCAAAACGCCTGATTGTATACACATACTTGCCGTTCACAATGATGAGAGTAAAAGTAAAGACTGCGCGTATTTTGATACATTTGATGGTTCATTTGACTGCTGGGACTATGCTACTTTGGGTTCTGTTATTTGACCCACCCTGGGAAAGCCCTGTCCCACAGAAAGTGATGCACACACAACTTAAGCTATCTAAACATGTGGGACAAATAAGCAGGACGCCTGAAAAATCATGTGAATTTCAGTAAAGTTTTCAGGTATTCTCATTAATTTCATTGAAGTCTATTAAATGAGCTAGGCTATGTCCATTTCACTGGACCGCTAAAACAATAGTCAAAATGCAGTTAAAACGCGTAACCACGTGGTCGCTTCTCTATTTTTTTTCGTGCTTCTCAAAATTCCAGTTGGTTGTATCAAGTGACAGGTCCGGTCCACTCAAACTGAGTTACTGGAAGCGATGGATTGGAGTGCAGTTCGAAATAATGTCCAACAGCAATGGGTTGAACGAGGAGTCGGAAATGGAGACTACTCAACAGATCAAGCTTCTGATAACTAAGGTAAACGGATCAGTAAATAGGCAGTGTCACTGATTCATAGGTTGCCGAATGGCCAACAAACATGGGTGATTTGTTCCGTAGTCGTACTTCTTCGTACGTACGTACTTCGAATGACATCGTAACATCTTCACCATGTGTGTCAGTAGATTTGATAGCGCGAAACAGCTCTAATACACATACAGCTTCTTGAGGTTGTTTAACAAGGTCCATTAGAAAGGGCGAAAGCAGTGATAAATACAAAAGGTTTTGAATATAGATGACATTAAAGATTAACGATCCGATTAAGTGCACCGGATTGTTTTTGAAGGTATGCTGAAAAAATCGTCCGAAATAGTTCCAGGGCGATTGGTATTGTAGTGTTTGCCTTTAGTATCAGGATTCATACCACATAAAATGAATTTCCTGCTAATATACTGGAGGATGGGTGTCGCCATAACCGGTTTAACTGCTCGTTACTCACACTGCAGATCAGTCACCCATGACCGAACGGTTAACTGTTTAACCTACCAGGTGGAGCTTCGTAAGGCACTCAATGCTAATGACTCCCAATAAGGGTGAAGTAACTGTACAACACTTTTGGGCTTTTCAGCGTGGATGGGCATCATGTTCGGGATGAAATCCCAATTGATACCTATTGTAAATTGTTTGAGTATGTTCTAGCTCTACTCGATTCGAAAACAGATGGGATGATTGAACGTTGTGTGGGAAAGATGTTGAGCCAAAAGCAGTTACGCAACAGCCTTAATACAAAGGACGATAGAAGAGTTCGAAGGAAGAGGACAACCCCAAAGCACCGCCGTCACATTCATCACGAACACCACTCATCAACAATGCACGTCTGAAATAATATATTCGGTTATATCCTGCTTCATAAGGTAGACAACACAACCGGAAGGCACCAGGTCCACATAAAGGATATATTGCCAGAGGGGATCAGAATGAATGCCCACATAGGAGTCGATCCGTGACTGAAATATCCAAAACAGACTATATCATTTAAAACCCACCGGAAGAATTATAATTTCAGCTGTGGGAGAGTAGCTTAAATAGAGGGGTTAATAACTTCAAGAACAGGAAAGCCAGTTGCACTACTCTTATGCGTGGCCCAACTAATGGTTCTCATCAGGAGAAAACAAACTAGGGGAAGGAAGTTTCAAGCATTCTCTTTCCAAGCATGTTATCAATGGGGCGTCTGCATGGAATTCCTTGCGGGAAGTCATTGAGACCAATACCGATGACGAGTTGTCGAATCGCGCTCCTCCGTTATCCTAATGCAGTTGAACATTACTCAAGTGTTGTTCATTGGTTGGAAGAGTTTATCAGGGAATTTTCAAGGTAAAGCAGAGGAAGAAAGAATGTGCTTGCCGGACGAAGCGGTGGTGCGTACACTTTAAATCCAAAAAAGCTCATTTAACTACCGGACTCTGCTTTTTTGAACTTCACTCACAACAATAACTAGAACGAGTCCCTTATCCGTGCTGGATATTGCGGAAACGCTCAGTCAGATTTCAGAGAGGTTTGGTAAACAATCGGTGCATTTATTGCTCTGTGAGGATTTTATGGGGTGATATTTTTATACACGCTCATTACAACAACAGATGGGGACATTGGGTAGCCGACTTCTACCGCATCTAAACTGGCATCACTTTTCATTATGAACTTCATTTCTTGATTGTTGCTAACATCAACTGACAACTGCGCCTGTCAGCAAACCTCAAGACGTCCGAACTGATTGGAAGGCTCATTCTATCAAATTAAGCGAACTTTCATCGATGATCCGATGGCTTAAACACATATCTGTTCTATGTCTAGCCGGGTGTCACCTGAATTCCGACTAGTTATGAATGGACAATCAGTTTTCTGGATCCATTACGTTACGATCCATTACGTTACGATTCATTACGTTTTGCGCAATATATACTCACTTACATAAACAAAAAATCTACACTCAAACTATTATCATCTGTCACAGTCACTGAATGCAAACATGGCTAAATTCCTTATTCTTTCATCGGTCAAGTGACAATATCGGCCGGCGTTCTGATG